TGGACTCACAGAAGTCTGCCTGCTTTTTCTTCCTGAGTGTGTGCGCCACCCTGCCCCACATAAATTGATAACATTATTATTAATGGAGAGAGTGTTGCAAAGGGGTATATATTAAAGTCATTAGTTCCTCCTACCTGCTATAACCGTTATTAGTATTTCTTGCTGTGGTATTACCCGGGAAACAGTATATACATATTCAATAATTGATTCATAGGTTTTGAAAGGAAAGTGTAAGTATCTTGCATTTTAGCTAACAATGTTAGCTTAGAGAAGCTGTGTGTTAGCATATGGAGCTCTAACTCCTCCTACTATGGCTTCAATATACAGTGGATGCATGATTTTATTTAATAGCTGTACAATTTGGATCCAGCCTTTACCTCATCATGGACAATCACAGCTGCTCGCCATTGCAATCAGAATTTTTGCTGAATTTATCACATAATCTTCTCTTGCCATGAGCAGGATTCCCCTGCCTACCCTCCAACCCCTACAGCTTTGAGTCCTTAGACTTCTTTTGGCATTCCTACATTTCCTACTCACGGAATGGAGATGACAGTGACATGGAGGCATTTTGTTGCTACCCGATTCTCTCTCTAAACCTCTTCCTTAGGAACACACTCTGGTGTGCAGGCACTATAGGCATTTGCTTGTACGGCCTGAGTTCTCATCAGTAAATATTTCATGTGCCTGATTACTCCGCAGTGAGCAACAATGTGAAAATACGTTCTTGGAGATGGCTACAAGTGGGCAGGGGGCATATTTTCATCTTTCCAGAAGGGGGAATGATTTATAACTGTCAGAAATCTGATAAGAAGTTGACAAGTATATGAAATTGGTTATATAAATTATAAAACATAAGTCATGATTCTATTTGCTTTGTGACAAGGAAAACTGGGTAATTTTTCATGAAGATATAAACTAAATACAAATGGCTACAATATTCAAGTGGCTGTTTGCACTCCCTCACTGAAAGCATCATGCGTTCCACGTTCTTATGGATGGGTGCAGAACTGGAGGCAGAGGAGGCAGGGGAGAGGGTAGGAATGAAAGGTCCAGAGGAAAGCAGCAGGGAAACATCAAAGAGAAATTTCCCTTGTGTCCTAGATTGCTTGAAGCTGCTTCTGCTTGGAGTGAGACAAGAGAATCTTCTAGAGAAGAGGCCAGAGTAAAAAAAAAAAAAAAAAATCTATTTGTAAGCCTTTCAAGCAGTAGATGGTGCTGAAAATGGATTGCGGTTCTTCTCAACTGTGCAGCCCACGGGCTGATCAGCACAGAAGCTGGGGTAGTGGCCCCACATGACCAAAGGTTTGGGGATACTTGTTTCTTTTAGGTGATAAAACTGCTTGAAATCATAAAATTCTCTTCTGGATAATTTGTTCACTGCAGCCCTATGTTGTACTGTCAACTGAAGAAACAAAGGCAGGCAGGCACCTGCACTGAATTCTTCAGTTCTTACCTGTAGGGAAACGAAACAGGCGTCTTCCATTTGCCTTAAGACTGCCTCATGGTTCCACTGTATCTTGTGTATAACCCACCACTTTTCAGATTTTCCACCTCCATTCATCATGAGCATCCCTTCTGTCAGCGTCAGAAGAACCACCTGCTCACCTCTGTTGATAAACACCACATGCATTTTAAAGCCTAGAAGACATCTTACCGAGTCTGGCTGGGCCTCCATCCTAGACAATTTTGCCTGTGATGTGGGTCAGGTACCCCACCGTCCCCTCAAGCTGGGAGTGGTCTGTGCCTTTCACTGGACCTTGAAGGCAGACACTCTCCCACTTATCTCTCTGCCCAGTCCAAGCCCTTCTGGAATGGTCAACAGAGCAGCATTTACAGACAGTCTCTAGCAATCTTCCCTATAGCCCTGTGACTTCATTTCTTGTCCTTTGTATTTTGCATGTAAGCTATTATCATTAACATTTATTACTGACCAAAGGCCACCAACTCCGAGAAACTATTATTGCCCTGGTCCCCTGTGGCTCGTGGTGAGCCACAGATCAGCAGCTGCTGCATCATTCAGGAGCTTGTTAGAAGTGTAGTGTTCAGGCCAGAGCCAAGACCCACTGGATCAGAATGTGACTGTTAGCAAGAAAGCCCAGAAAGCTCCTACATATGTCTGTCTTGAGACACTGTCATCTAGTCCAGCACAATCCCTGACTACTTCCATCATCTATGCTCTGTTTCAAAGGACCGTGTCTCCTAGTGTTTTCCATGTGGTGAACATTTTTCTACAACTCAAATCTAGGCATGTGGCCAAATCAAATGTGAGTTCACTTAGTGGGAATCATGGGACAGAATATTGGACATTGAGTTTTGCTGTTGCTATATTTAACTCCTATTTCATAATCACTTTGCTTTCTCTGAGAAGGATGGAGAATTATTTTAAAACGGTCCACAGCTCCATCCAATTATATCTTAGTCACGGGGGCTATGTAGTTGCCATTTCTAAAACATAAGTCTTTCTGCTAAACTTTTCTTTTCCTTTTTGAAAAGAGATTTGTTTACTTCTTTCATTTTATGCATGACTGTTTTGTCTGCATGTCCATATGTGTACCACATGAATACAAGAGCCTGTAGAGGCCAGAAGAGCTTCATTATCCCCTGGAACTGGAATTACAGATAGTTGTGAGTCACCACAGAAGTGCTGGGAACTGGTGCTTTTGACCACTAAGCTATCCTTCCAGCTTCCCAAACATCGCTTTTTCAGGGCAAAAGATTCCATCACAGGTAGTCTTTGGCAACCTTCCCTCTTCCCTCTCTGCTTTTGTAGATTAATCACGACACTGATGGAGCCAGGCCATGCAACGACCCAGCCTTAGCCCCTGGGGGATGTTGCTGTCCCTGCCTTTCCAGTACCCACCTCTTTCAGCCACACATCCTGGAGTCTAGGCCATCTGTAACAACCATTTCTGAGCATGCCTTGACTAAATACCTGTTAGAAAGTACCATTCTTCAGCACAGATTTGATTAGATGCGGAGACAGCGGCTGCTGCTAAAGACAGCTTCCTGGTTCCTGGCCTCTGTTTACCGCATGTCATTTCATGGAGACCCTGTTTGGAAGTATCAATGTCTCCTGAACTGTGACCTCTGACCTCTGGACATTTGTGCAGAGAATGCTCCAGGTCACATTTGTTTGTGAGGACTTTCTATCCTTCCACTGTTCTCTTCTAGAATTCGTAGGTGACTCCTGTGTGAATCTCTCGGCAAGGGAGACCACCATCAAGTGCCCTCGACAGAGAGCTGCCTACCTCATGGACTCCATGGGAATTACACTGACGTGGAGTCTATGGAAATTCTCACTGTGGGTTTTGGAGGTCCTGTGTGAGTTTTGGTCATTTAGGAATGCCAGTCAAAGCGTTCAGACAGCTCAGGTTGAGTAACTGAGAAACATGCTGGGTATCTATCAAGGAGGAGAAAAAGTTGCAGAATTGGAGCTTTGGGGACTTTCACGGGGGTCTCAGTGCTAAGAAAGCTAAGGGGTGGGTTGTTTGTGGCCCTAAATGCCTGAAATTTTTATTTCCTGGCCCTTTATGGAAACTGCTGGCTGACTCCCAAAAGATGGGACTCCCTCACATCTCCCAGCAGAAAGATGGAATATCCTTAAGGCAATTAAATGCCCCAAGCAGGCCCTGGGAATGTATAGATAAGGTGGATCCCGTGGGCTCACTGCAGGCTCCAGGCTCAGTGTAAGATCCTGTCTCAGAACATAATATGGAGAGTGGTGAAGATAACCAACGCAGACCTCTGCCCCCCCCCACATTCGTGCATATACAAGCGTGCCTGTACACACGTCCATACACAATCATACCCACCTCCATACACACAAAATAGAAATAGAAAGCAATTATAAAATTTTAAAAATCCATACGGGTCATCTTAAAGAGGTGTAGGCAATAGAAAAACAGACCGAGAAACTGGCAAGAGGCAGATCGGGAGAAATCCAGAACTAAGTCTACAGGAGCCCTGCCCATCAACGTCCTTGTGTGCAGAAAAAGAGGGAAGAACACAGATGCTATCAAACCACAGAATGTAGGAAGGACGCTCACTGCCCCCCTACCTCCCTTTAACCTGCTGCACAGCTCCCTCTTAACTAAACCAGGAACCAGAGGGAGAGTTCAGCTGGTCACTCTAGGGCACGGAATTTGACAGAGAAGTGTTGACAGTGGATCAGAAACAGTAAACGCTGACAATACAGAAAAAGAACGGACAGGAAGCAAGGCTAACTCCGTTCAGGCTAGTTTCATCCGCACAGGAGCGTATATGGTTTAATGCTCTGTCGTCAGCATCTTGAGGTGTGTGTGTGTGTGTGTGTGTGTGTGTGTGTGTGTGTGTGTGTGTGTAGGGAAAGGTGTCAGGGATTGAACTCAAGGGTTCACTTATACTCTATCATGAAAATGTTCTATCTTTAAGTTATGTCCTCTGTGCTGCCTTTATATTCTTTTATTTATTTATTTATTTATCTATCTATCTATTTATTTATTTATTTATTTATTTATTTATTTATTTATTTATTTTAGATCTATTTATTTTGTTATTGTGCCTGTATGGGTGTTTCACCTACATGTACGTCTGTGTACTGTGTGCATGCCTGCTGTCCAGAGGTTAGAAAAGTGTGCCAGATCACTTGGGACGGAAGTTAGAGGTGGCTGTGAGTTGCTTTGTCGATGCTGAGAAGCAAACCAAGGTCGTGAGCAAGAACAAGTGCCCTGACCTCTGAGCCCCGAGGACCAGATTCTTAAATAACATTTGGAGAAAGGTTCCAGGCTCTTCTGTTTTACTAGGCCCCACAATTTATGTACCATTCCAAATTTTATTCTTCAAATTGCATTCTTCTATCTCTTTTGATATTCACTCTTTTCATGTGTAAAATAAATTTAGTAATATTTTCCTTTCAGAGTTGGAGAGCAAATGACATTCATGCGTTAGGAGCTGGCTTTACAAAGACATCTTCCTTCCATTCCTGATCCCACCACCTTCCAGTGCTCTTTCTCTTTTAGAAATGACTTCCGGAAAGCCACCAGAGGAAAGGAAATCAAAAGCCAAGTGACCTGGCTGAGCAGGACATGACATGGGTGGATCATAAGGGAAGTTTCATTGTGGAAAGAGTGCCCATTAGTCATTAGCCTGAGATTGTGAGAAAGGAATTTTAATCCCACATTGTTCCCATCTCTGATTTATTGGGAATACGAAGTACATAAATGCCCAAACCCTTGCTGAGTGTCAGAGCTCTCCTTTAACATAGGACCTCCGGGGCCAAGTCAGGTGGAATACAGATAAGTTGCACACCAGTTCTCACTTGACTACGGGTAGGCTCAAATGCATGGCTTGGGAATTGTTATGGCGTAACCTGTCCTTTTCCAATTTGCCTTTATCTCTCTCTGTTCTCTAAATAAATAAATAAATAAATAAATAAATAAATAAATAACTCCTTTTGTTTTTCTTTTTCTTCCTTCACATGTTTAATGCAAAGAATCAGGATTTTGTTCCATTAGAGGGATCAAACTTGCATCAAGCTGGCTGTGGGCTTTAGCTTAAGGTTCTAAAGCCATTGGCTGTGGTTGAGGTACCCTAATACAACCCAACACCTAAGAGAATGTGGATGGAGATTTCATTTTCTAGGCATAATGATGACAGTTTGAAAAGCTCAGTGTTCTGTGGCACTGTGAAGTAATTCCATTCTTGTTGACCAAAGATCTTCTGCCTGCGCAGATACCTAAAGACTTTTTTTTTTTTTGTAATGCTCACTGGGATACTTTTTTTAAATTTTTTTAGATGCAAAATTCTTATGTTCTATATCAAGCTTTAATGCTTTAATCCAGTGAGGATGGTCTGTTTCTCGTGGCAACACAGAGGCATCAAGATGAACAGGGGTCAGCCGGGTAGTTTGAAGAGAAGCCTTGGAAATCGGTTAAACAAAGCTGGGAATTCTCTGAAGAGTGTTTAGCAAAGAGACTACAGTTTGAAGTGAATAGGAACGGTTTTGTTCACAGGCTCTGCCTTGCTGTTGGATTCAAAGAGTGTTCAGCCCCAGAAAAGAACATCAATGTCTTTTTTGAAAATTAAACACACAAGCCCTTGCACGCACATGCACAAACACATACACACACACACATACACACACACACACACACACACACACAAATGTTCTTTTCTGCCTACCTTTCAGCACTGCTTAACTGTGGAAAAGCTCATCACACCTGGAAATATGTCTTTTGATCTAAAGCGAATGCTGTATAGGAATAAAGATGTCACATTGTCTGTCATTGGTGAAATGAATTACCAAGGACTCTGCTTCAGAAAGATAACAAAAGACCCTGCGTGACTCTGCTGAGTGAGGTCACCAAGTCTGGGAAGGGGTTGGAAAGCAGGGGTCCTGCAGGAGGTTACTTCTTAGCTTTGTCACCAGCCAATTCCTGTGACCTCAGGCAAGACACTTAAGCTCTTTGTACTTTTGAAAATCTGGGATAATGCTTGCTGCCCACTTAACCTCAAAGGGATATGTGAAGATTAGCCAATTAAAGTTTGTCAGTGCCTGGCAATCAATGCAGGAAGGCATCTGTATAAACATGCTGCCTTTCTGCCGTGCACTCCGTCTCCCTCTCCCTCCCGGTCCACCGGTCCACCTCTCCTCTGTTCCTGTTGCCACTGTTCCTCTTTCAAAGGGTTGTTGTCCCAGGAGACTCAGTGAGGTCTCCTTGTGCTTTTGCTTCTGGTTTCTATTGTGAAAATGGCTGGGTATCTTCTACTGCTAAATGATTTATTTGAAATAACTCCTTTCTCTACCACAAGGGACGGTTTCCAAATCAAACATTCCATGCTTTCAGTGAGGCACACTGGGTGTGTTTTCTTTTTTGTTTACAGTTACCATCCTAAAAAAAAGGAGAAACCCATTGTAATAGTAAGTATAATTCAGAAATATTTGCCTATTAGGGACTTAAAGCTAATGAGCTTTTAAGATAAAAATCAATTCAATGCCATTAAAGGGATTCTTAAATCCTTAAAGGAATTCTCCTTTTAACCAACACTACGATGGTATTTATAGTTCATAAACATTGCCTCTCTGCTGGTTGTAACCACCTGTAAAATACATATTGCATAATCCCATCATCTGATAGCCTTATTCCAGTTGAGAAAACTGAGATTTCGGAGATGTTAAGTGATTTGCTCAATGTCGTTTAGCTAATGAGTGGCAAAGACAAGACTGACTCCACATTCCTTTATCTTCTGGTTCCAAGAGAGTGAATTTCCAAGTGCACCTTGCTGCTGTCTATGACTGGAGCTCAAATGGTGTCTAAGCCCATCTCCTGTTGCCTTGGTATATTGGCCCTCACTTCCCAGGTCATTTGGATTTGGAAGATGTACTTAGTCTTATTCAAGACCCCGTTGATGAGTCTAGACCTTCTCTTGGAAGGTCACTGGCAGTGTGTCTGGGGGTTTAGCTTTCTCTAGCTCTGCTTTTGGGCCTCCATGACGTAAACTGCTCTGCTCTACCTTGCTTCCACTCTGCCATAACGGACTGACACCTCAAAAAAGTTGACCCAAAATAAACAATTTCTCCCTTTAAGTTGTTTTCTCAGGGGTTGGT